GGGGCCCCCAGGCAATAGGGGATCATGGGGCCCCTGTGTCCCTGCCCAAAACGCAATAAAGCCTATGAAAAAGGTACCAGGGGCATCTCATGGGACCCCTACTGACCCGGGCCCTCGGGCAGTGCCCGAGTTTCCAAATGGTCAGTCTGCCCCTGCCTCCACAGGTTCATAAATGATCTTGTTACTTCTACACACATGACAGAGAGAGAGAGAGAGAGGGGAGAGAGAGAGAGAGAGAGAGGATATGTATGTATTTACACAATTTATTGAATTGACACATAGAAAAAAAAACATAAATAGATTTGTAATGCAGTTTCTTTCTTGGGTGAAAAATGCGTCCACTCGTGTAGGTCAATGTGGTTTTGCGGATGTGCCCGCTTCTTCAGGATCCACGAGTCATTTACCTTGAAAGTCGGACCCGCGGAGCTGGCAAACAAATTACCTGAGGAAAAGCAAAATAGGCTCCTCTCACAAAAAGACGGTGCGGGAACACGGCGAGAGGTAACTATGAGAAAAGTAAGTATTTAACAAATATGTACTTTTCTCATTGTTGCTCTTTGTTGTTTTTCTATATTTTGCCTGAGATTTTTTTAATATTTGAATATGTACACTTTCAGTAAATGACTTGTCCGGCCCCGGGTCCTGAAGATGCAGTCATTACCTGCGAAACGCATTGACCTACACGAGTGGATGCCTTTTAAACACCTAAGAAAGGTGGTGTGTTGTGTGTGTGTGTGTGTGTTGTGTGAGAAGTGTGTGTTGTGTGTGTGTGTGTGTGTGTGTGTGTGTGTGTGTGCAAATTGTGTGTGTGTGTGTGTGTGTGTGTGTGGTGTGTGTGTGTGTGTGTGTGTGTGTTGAACCCCGCAGACACTGGGGGGTTGAGTGAAATCTGTGAGCACAGTGGGCCTCAGGATTTGTCATCAAGAGTCTTGGCACAAAAAGATGCCATGGAATGTACCTTCAGCCTGGCAATTGCAACCCTTTTATGCTAACTGCTTCGGCTGTGTATGTTAACACCCCAAAATCCATTCGCAAAACGCGGTGCTTGTGCAGAATCTGCACCAGAATCAGATTGCACAGGTGTGAATACCCATGCAATCTGATTCTGGTGCGGACAAAAAAGGGTCCTGCACTAGTTTGGTGCGGATGCAGTGCGATCTGAGCTATACAAAATGTATGGGTCAAATTGCACCGCACACAAATCGCATGTGATTTGCACAGGAATGCAGTGCACTTCCTATGTGAACCACATGCGGTGTGGCAGACTGCATATGTGTGAACTCTGGCTCAAGGAGGAATACCGTCATTCTAGGTGATCCTAGACCAGCAATGGGCAAACTACGGCCCGGCGGACCTTATAATCCGGCCCGCGGAGCGTGGCAAACATTACCTGTCAGGATGTGTGTAGGCAGGGCAGCGTGAGGCGGGGCAGCAGGAGAGCTAGGCTCCTCTCACAGTCCGCCCTGAAGACCGGAACGGCGCGGGAACACAGCGAGAGGAACGCGCGGAGCAAAGGTAAGTGAATTGACACAATATGGGGGATGAATTATATGGGGATGAATTACTATAGGGGGGATGAATTACTATGGGGGGTGAATTACTATAGGGGGGGTGAATGAATTACTATAGGGGGGGTGAATTACTATATGGGGGATTTAATTACTATGGGGGAATATTACTATACTTACTATGGATGACACATACACATCATTCATCTACTCTTGGTCCGGCGGCCCCGGGTCCAATATATGAACCCATTGCGGCCCTCAAGTCAAAAAGTTTGCCCACCCCTGTCCTAGACCAATAGAACAGGTGTTTTTATTATCCTGTCCCTAGTGGTCCTACGGGGGTTGGAGCAGGAGCTCATCCCCATATGCTGTCATAAAGTGGACAGTAAAAGGGTAAAATGCCCTTAATGTTATCAAGACAGGAACATGGACATGGTAAGATATAAAAAAAAACTGGGGAGAAGTAACACGGCCCAAAAAAACCCTTCATGGGTGCCCTTTTGTAACATTTACAAGCTGTATTCCTACATTCCTGAAGTGCAAATCTGATGTACTTGACTTACTCTTTTGGTGTTGTGCTACCACCTTGTGGTAGATTTAAATAACTGCATGTGTGTTTGTTCTAATGGATTTTGGTGTGTTGGCCTGTAGAAGATGGTCTACAGAAATATTCCAGGTGAAGACCATGTCAAACTGTTTTAATTAACAGAATGGCTCAATAAACTACTATTTATTTATTACAGGTACTTATTATTGTTAGTGAAGCGTAATTTCACGGTTACCCACTTTTCGTTAGAATGAATTGACTGCACCATCTTTATGTTCCATCACTTTTGACACATTCATTGCTCTGTCTCCCCTGAGCAAGGCCAGCAAAGGAACCTGAATATGATATCCGCCATGTAAAGCCTGAAGCACATTTTAGAGTTTCTCAATCTCTTTGCCTTGATATGGCAAATAATTATTCAGAGTGACTGTTCCATTACATTGTATTACCAATCTGAAAGCAAATGGGTCCAACAGAAATGTTACTTAGTTACTTAACCTTAATTAGTGACTGCTGCATTTCTATGTGTTCTTCTTTTTTTTTTTTTTTTTTTTTTTTTTTTGTGATCAGATTTCCTTTAAATATTGACAAATGTAATTTTTATCAAATTTTATAGTATATGAAAATGACAGGAAAACAGATCAATGTTCATTTGGAGGTTTGAAAGTAAAACTGATTGTACATGAAAATTTTACAGTATCACAAAACCCCAACCCCCCACTTCCTTCCACCAATCTGTCCATTAGGGCAGCACAGTGGCTAAGTGGTTAGCATTCCTGCCTGGCGGATCTTGGGTTGTTGGTTCGAATTCTGGCCACAATACTACCTGCACAAAGTGTGCATGTTCTGTGCAATGCCTGTGTGGGGAGGAAACCAAAGACATGTTGGTGGGTAAATTGGAACTTATAATGTGAGTTGGTGAACAAAGATTGTAAACGTGAAGGCAGGGACTGATGTGAATGTACAATATACACGTCTGCCTTTTTATTAGGTACACCAGTACCTGTTCAATTGCTTGGTAATACACATTGCTAATAAGGCAATCACATGGCAGCAACTCAGTGCATTTAAGCATCTAGACGTGGTGAAGATGACTTAAAGTTCAAACCAATCATCAGGGGTTTTAAGTGACTTTGAACGTGGCATTGTTGTTGTTGCCAGACAGGCTGGTCTGAGTATTTCAAAAACTGTGCGTGAAAATCCCAACAGATCAGCAACCATCTCTAGGGTTTACAGAGAATGGTCCAAAAAAAAGAGAAAATATCCAGTGAGTGGTAGTTGTGTGGATGAAACTGCCTAGTTGATGTCAGAAGAGAATAGGCACACTTGTTCAAGATGATAGGCTACAGTAACTCAAATAACCACTTGTTACAACCAAGGCATGCAGAATACCATCTCTGAACACACAATACCGTGAACCTTGAAGCAGATGGGCTACAGCAGCAGAAGACCACACTGGGTGTGACTCCTGTGAGCAAAGAACAGGAAGCGGAGGCTACAATTTGCACAAGCTCACCAACATTGGGCAATAAAAGATTGGAAAGATTGGAAAAACGTTGCCTGGTCTGAGTCTCGATTTTAGCTGCTACATTCAGATGGTAGGGTCTGAATTTGGCGTAAACATGAAAGCATGGATCTATCCGGTCTTGTATCAATGGTTCAGGTTGGTGGTGGTGTAATGGTGTGGGGGAAATTTTCTTGACACACTTTGGGCCCTTTGGTACCAATTGAGAATTGTATAAACACCATGGCCTATCTGAGTATTGTTGCTGACCACGTCCATCCCTTTATGACTACAGTGTACCCATCTTCTGATGGCTACTTCCAGCAGGATAATGCACTATCTTACAAATCTCAGATCATTTTAAACTGGTTTCTTGAACATGACAATGAGGTCACTGTACTCCAATGGCCTCCAGTCATCAGATCTCAATCCAATAGAGCACCTTTTGGGATGTGGTGGAATGAGAGATTGGCATTATGGAAGTGCAGCAGACAAATTTTTGCAGCAACTGTGTGATGGTATCGTGTCAATATGGACCAAAATCTCTGAGGAATGTTTCCAACACTTTGCTGAATCTATGCCACGAAGAATTAAGGAAGTTTTGAAGGCAAAAGGGGTCAAATCCAGTACTAGCAAGGTGTACCTAGTTATAAGGTGGCCGGTGAGTGTATGTAAAATGCTGTGTAAATTTGATATTTAAGTACCTGTAATGATAAAATAGAGATGCAGTAATATCCTATGGAAATTGCTTTCTTTCACATTATTCCCCTACACTTACATAAAACCATGACTTACATGAACTGTTTATTTTCTTCTTTGAAATGATTGGCTTGGAGCCAAATTCTTTCCGAATGTGACATAAATCTTACATGGTAAGCAAAGAGGAGCTCTGTCTTGATGGGAAAGAACTGATGCTTTCATTTCTTTCTTCAAATGATCTCCTTTCACTGTCCATGTACCATGTTTACCATCCAGTGAATGTCACATTACATGGTTTAAACCATGGGGTCCTGGTCACTTCTACAGGGATGTACATGAATTAAAGTTCTTTCAAGAGGATGTGCTTAGGCTGGGAGGTCTAAGACCAGTCCAGCAATCCACCCCTAAACACCCCACTAGTCTGTGTGACAGTAGCAAATAATTTAATGGAATCTTTATTACTGATTAATCTAAATTCTGCGGATGCTGAAGTTTGTAACTCTTCACTCCTATCTTCACACGCCTAACTAACATTGCATTTGGTTGTATCTTTATTTTAGTCTTTTCTAGCTCATCTCCACAGTCTGTAGTGTAATGCTGATTTTTGTTCTGCTATTTATGTATTTAGCTGTTGAATTATGAAAATGTACTGAATTTTTGTTTACCTTTTACTGTGTTCTAGGATCTGACTTCTGCCTTGACTCGTAAAATAACCTTGAAGACTCCCCTAATCTCCTCCCCTATGGACACTGTGACAGAATCGGATATGGCCATTGCAATGGCGGTAAATACTATAAGAAATCTTAAATCTTCAGTTTTAACTATATACGATGTTAAAGATATTACTACAATAAAGCATGAACGACTGAAAATAATACGGGTGTTTTTAAGTGTAAATGTAAAATGTCCCTTGCCATGGGAACTGCAACAGAACTTTTCATGCACAACAACTTGTGTTCTAATGCTCTGACTCCCTATCTGACAGTTAATCATAGTATTGTTGTTAAAGCTTCCCTTGGGAGCTTTATGCCATAATGTACTAGTTTGCACAGCATTATAGCAGACTTAACCAGTTTAGTGATTCACCAAATCCACCACCCAACCCCACTGCGATGTCCGCTTTCACAACTGTCATGGGCATATCTGTCTTCTCCTCCTGGTCTTTCTTCCAGGTTCAGACTCTGGGAGTCGCATTGGCTGGGCTGCAGATATGTCACTTCCGTGCAAGTGCATGAGAGTTGCATCACTGCACAGAGTGGTCCTGTACACGTATGCTGAGCTGCCTATGCGCTCAGGGGGTTGCAGTTATGATAGAAGAGACCAATGGGGTCTTTATTCCCTTGCTTCATTCATTCATTCTTGGTTTAGCAGCACTCTTGTTCATGGCATCTGAGTTACTCTTAGGGTTCAATGGGCACAATTAAACCATTTTGGAGAAGTCTTCCTCTGCTTTAAACAGGTCTTAGGAGGTGAAAGCTTCTTAAGTATAAGTCTGGATGCTAAACATGTTTGTTAAATGATGCATATAGCCTTTTGCTCTCTCACAATAGAATATTTTGCTTTATTACAGCTTATGGGAGGTATAGGTATTATTCATCACAATTGTACTCCAGAGTTCCAAGCCAATGAAGTCCGTAAAGTGAAGGTAATATTTCCTTAAATGGGTATTTGTCCAACTTGAGAAGTATGTATGCACTTTGTGTGCTTATTTTATTAAGTTAATTTATTTTATAATTTATATTTTAACTATGCTGCTAAAATGCAAAAAAATAAAATGAATCGTGAAAGTAAATACTGTACATTTGCAGGAAAAAAATATGTATTTATTTTTGGAGTAATTAATCTTCAAAGCATTGCAACCTCAATCCGTCTCCTGTAGACTTTTCCTCCCAGCTCCCTGAAGTTGTACACATACTGTGAGAATTTATCAAAACTGGAGCAGCTGTGCTTGGCAGCCAGAACCTGGAGCAGCTGTGCATGGCAACCAATCAGCTTCTAGCTTTCATTTTTAAAGCTTAACTGAATAAGCTGAAGATAGAAGCTGATTGGTTGGCATGCACAGCTGCTCCAGCTTATGGCTGCTCCATTTTTTATAATTCCCCCCTTTATGTCTTTTCCTGTAAATTTTAAACATTGGTCCCTCTCCAAGCCCAGCTTGTAAAGGAAAGGTCATCATTTTACCTATTCGTTCAACGACTTGTAACGCTGGATGGAGGGATTGTTTTTAATGTGGTTTTCACTGAAAGTTAACTTTTTCTTTTAGCAGAGTTTTTAACAGATTTGTTTTACCTAGCCAATTTAGAAGTTTACACTTTGGTAAATGTTCAAATAATTAGCAACTGTACATCCTTTTACCTTTCAACAGCTGATTGCTTGCTAGAGTTTCCTTTTTACAAACTGGCCATGTTTGAGACATAACATACCTGTTTAGAGGCCAACGTCATACTTGGTGCTTTGCCCTGTTAAATCTAGTTAGGGATGGGCAGTCACACCTGTCTTGCTGGGTTCTAATATATAAACTATTCTCTTTTGTATATGTTATTACTCTCTGCATTTTTCCTCTGTGAACCTTCTTTTTTTTTTTTTTTCTTTCTTTTTTTTTTTGTGCTTTGAAAATAAAGGCGCTGTATAAATAAATAATAGGACATGATGGTTGTATAGATTTTAATATATTTTAGAGTTCCAATTGAACTTCTAGTTCTTTTGGTCTGTTTATAATGGGAATTCTGTGGGAGAATCATTCAGAATCCTCAGCAGGCATAATCGTATGCAGTAGAAGAATCCTGATGGCTTTAAATCCCCATCCATATTTTCAAATGGGGACGTTAGCCATTAGATTTAGGAGACTCAACAGGGGGTTCAAAGCGATTTAACTGGGTGGAAGCGCCATTTGAAAGCAATGGGTGGCTGACACTCCTGCAGCTATTTATGACTGCTCGAAGCCCTAGCCATGAGTCGATGTATGGGGTCTAAATCTAAAGAGCTCAGTTGCAGACACAAGTGTGCAGGATTCCTTTTATCATCTTCCCTACAAACATACTTACATGGTTTTCTTGTCTCCCCTTTTTTTCTTTTCTCCAGAAATTTGAGCAAGGCTTTATTACTGATCCAGTTGTAATGAGTCCTTCACACACCGTGGGTGATGTTTTTGAAGCCAAAACCCGACACGGGTTTTCTGGGATGCCAGTGACTGAAACTGGAAAAATGGGCAGCAAGTTGGTGGGGATTGTCACGTCCAGAGATATTGACTTTTTGACTGAGAAGGATTACACCACTTATCTGAGTGAGGTAATGTATGACGTGCTGGGGTGTGCAGTCTGTGAGGACAGGATGAACCATGGATAATCCATTTGTACTTGATGCCACTGAAAAAAGTTCTCATAAATGCATGTGTTTTTGTTACAAATATCCATTAATAGAAAAGGAAATGTTGCAGTGTAGCTGGGGTTGAGCTTGCCATTTATGAATTGAATTTAGAGGGGAAAAAGATACTTTATTTTTCTTCTTTGACTTCCTACTGTAGTCCCTTGTTTATTTTTTGCTAGACATGGCTATCCAGCAACAATGATGGAGGTCAAGATAAACTCTAACACTATAAATTGCTTTTTTGTAGTTCATATAATTGAAATAATCCTTTAAACAGAAAAAAAAGCCATCATTTCAACTGGCCTTTCATGTGTGGGTTGATATGTGACATTTTTTTTTTCTTCAAACTATATAAAGTCTATCAGATTGCTGATGCCATGCAGGTCTCCTACAGACCTGTTAAAATATTTGCTTGCCGTACGGGATGTATGAGCAAGCAGATATTCTGAAAGGAAGCTTTGATAACTACCACAGCGCTGTAGTAGTTCATTGAAAACTACAAGTCCACAGCCGCTAAGGTTGTCGGGACTTGTAGTTCAATCATTCACGGAAGACGTGAATGAATGATGCGGCCGTGAGCGGAGCCCCACCTTATCTGACAGTAACGGAGACTTCTCCCCGTATTATCTGTCGGAGGTGGGCGGTGGTGGCTGTGACAACATGCTACATGTTCCACCCTAAAAACCGGGTGGAACATGTAACATGTTCCCAAAGGTGAACTTTTAATTGATCAAGCTAAAGTTAGAAGCTGATTGGCTACCATTCACAGCTGCACCAGATTTTGCCCTCTCTGTTTTAACAACCCCATTGTCAACCATCCCTTTTATGACTCATTAACTACTTGTAATTAACATCCAATTGAAATGTTCTTTATTTTACACTACCTTACTCCAATTTTTTTTTTTTTCCCTAACATCACTTGTTTGTCAGTATTTTTCAATAAAAATCATTAGAGAAAATTAAATCCTGTAGCTTTTGCTGAACTGCTAGGTCAAATGGCACAAAAAATAAGTAAATATCCTTTAAGAATAATAGAAAAAAATGTTAGGTACATGGCTATTTTACCTGCTTAGGTGTAATGAATGTTTCTCGGAAGTAAATTCTGGCTTCTCTCCAATTCTCCTGATCTCTGCATGCATATAAGCCTGTAGTTCAGAGGGCTGAAATTAGAAATGGCCAGACTATTGGTGTATTCAGAAGATCAGCTATATTACGCTTCTCCCCCCCCCTTTTTTTTTTTTTTTTTTTTTTTTTTTTTTAAATCTCTTCATCCTGTTTTACTGTAGCGTAAACCTTAAAATGAAATGTGCTGTTTGTTGCAGGTAATGACCAAGCGAGATGAACTAGTTGTTGCTCCTGCCGGAGTCACTCTTAAAGAAGCTAATGAAATCCTGCAGCGCAGTAAGAAAGGTAAGGCAATTCTTTTTTGCTCTGTATGCTATTTGCAGAAAATAGTTGTGACTTCTCACTTGCTGAAACATTTTCTGTTAGTGTTAAACAAGTTTGTTATGACCATTTATTACCAGTATTTGCTAGTATCTAATCTATTAATGAACACACTGGGGTAGAGCACTTTTGCTTCTGATAGTCTAGGCGGTTGGAGCGGAGATGGGAGCAGGTACCTGTCAAAAGGTGAGAGGTGGGTTTGTGTGTTTTTTTTTGTTGGTTTTTTGTTGCACTTTGTTGGAAAATGAAGAAAATAAAATCCTAATATATACTGTCACCAGTACAGTATATGACTAGGCTAATCACATGGTACAGATAGCCAGGTACCATGTGATTGCTGTAGGCCAATCACAGATTACCATAAGCAAGTTGTTCATTAATGGAAAGCTATTCATGACCAGCTATTTACATTGTTGTGATTGCTATGACCAATCCTAGTGATCACATGATACCAGTAACAGTGTTGCGATGTGTCCAGTGGACACTGGTTACAGGAGGGGCGCGGTGCGCTCTACAAAACCAGAGCAGGCTCAATTGTGTGTGTGAGTGTGAGCCTGCACGTGTAAATGCACTGTGGTGGGGCGGCAAGTGGCTTAAATGGATTTGGAAACCATTTAATATGGCACCGTATGTAGCTAGTGCCACCACTGTAATTGTCAGTTGGAAGGTTTGTGGATATGCTTAGTACAGTTATTTTTTCAGACATCCTGCATGCTGCATTTGCACGGGGCCAGCAGCCCATTCATGTGATGCTATACCTATGAGAAATGCAGAGTCCCTGACCCTTTTTTTAAAAATGTGGCTGCAAATAACCGCCGTGCCACATTATGCTGACACTTGGAGATGCCATTAACAATTAATGACACTCCTGTGCGTCTGTTGAAGAGCAGCACATTTTGGCACTAGGTCAGGAATACATGCGATTTATGCCTGGGTTCCCAACCAAAACAAGTGTGAACCTAGTCTAATGGTCTGTTTCCCTCTCTGCAGCTGTTTGCACAGGCAATTCACGGTTTATGAATGTAAGTTTGAATTTGGAAAAGTTCTGTAAGTCAGCACATATTCTTTGAGAATGCTAATAAATTGGCACCCAGCATATTTTGTTTCTGACGTGAAAGAAACCATTTTAAAAGCTTTGAGAAGTTTAAGCCTTATATAATCCACTGGTTCCATGCAAAACTTAAAGTGTACCTGAACCCAAAAATCTAAATATACTGTAGCTTACCAGTCCTTACATGCTGTGGCTGCATTCATTTTCCTTTTTTCAAGGCTTTAATGTTTTTCAACTGGTGATCCTGTGAACACACTGCCCATGAGTGGCTACACTCCCTCCTCCTCCACTGTAATTATTTGTGGTTGCTCCTAGGCTGGACAAAAATATTTGCCTTTTGTTCATCTCCATTATATGGTTTATAATAGTTTTAGTAGTTTACACTAATAAGAGTTTTTTTATGATTCTGGTCCATCTCACTGGAAGTTTTAAGGACCACTGCATTTCTGGCAATAACAGTGGATGTTATCTGAACATGCTGTGTTGGCATGGCTGTCTCATCATCCTGCAGCAAAGTTTAGTGCACACAAAAGCTACAGTGAGGAACAGAAGTGTTTGAACACCCTGCGATTTTGCAAGTTCTCCAACTTAGAAATCATGGAGGGGTCTGAAATTCACATTGTAGGTGCATTCCCACTCTGAGAGACAGAATTTTAAAAAAATTCAGGAAATCACATTGTATGATTTTTAAAGAATTTATTTGTCTTGCACTGCTGAACATAAGTATTTGAACACCTGAGAAAATCAGTGTTAATATTTGGTACAGAAGCCTTTGTTTGCAATTACAGAGGTCAAACGTTTCCTGCAGTTCTTGACCAGGTTTGCACACACTGCAACAGGGATTTTGACCCACTCCTCCACACAGATCTCCTCTAGATCTGCCAGGTTTCGGGGCTGTCGCTGAGCAACACGGAGTTTCAGCTCCCTCCAAAGTTCTATTGGATTTAGGTCTGGAGACTGGCTAGGCCACTCCAGAACCTTGATATGCTTCTTACGGAGCCACTCCTTGGTTATCCTGCTTGTGTGCTTCTGGTCGTTGTCATGTTGAAAGACCCAGCCACGACCCATCTTCAATGCTCTGACTGAGGGAAGGAAGTTGTTGTTCAAAATCTCACAATAAATGGCCCCATTCATCCTCTCCTTAATACAGTGCAGTCGTCCTGTCCCCTTCGCAGAAAAGCACCCCCAAAGCATGATGTTACCAACCCCATGCTTCACAGTAGGGATGGTGTTCTTGGGATGCAAGTCATCCTTTTTCCTCCAAACACGACGAGTGAAGTTTAGACCAAAAAGTTCTACTTTGGTCTCATCTGACCACATGACTTTCTCCCATGCCTCCTCTGGATCATCCAGATGGTCATTGGCAAACTTCAGATGGGCCAGGGGAACCTTCCGTGCAATGCATGATTTGAAACCATGAGGGCGTAGTGTTCTACCGACAGTGACCTTTGAAACTGTGGTCCCAGCTCTTTTCATGTCATTGACCAGCTCCTCCCTTGTAGTTCTGGGCTGATTCCTCACCTTTCTTATCATCAGTGATACCCCACGAGGTGAGATCTTGCATGGAGCCACAGTCCGAGGGAGACTGACAGTCGTCTTTAGCCTCTTCCATTTTCTAACAATTGCTCCAACAGTTGATCTATTTTCACCAAGCTGCTTGGCAATTGCCCTGTAGCCCTTTCCAGCCTTGTGGAGGTCCACAATTTTGTCTCTGGTGTCTTTTGACAGCTCTTTGGTCTTGCCCATGGTAGTAGTTGGCGTCTGACTGACTGTGGGGTGGACAGGTGTCTTTAAAGAGCTCAGACAGGTGCTACTAAGTTAGATTAATGAGTGGAGTAGTGGTGAACTTTTTAAAGGCACAGTAACAGGTCTTTGAGAGCCAGAATTCTTGCTGTTTCTTAGGTGTTCAAATACTTAAGTTCGGCAGTGCAAGACAAATTCTTTTAAACAATCATACAATGTGATTTCCTGAATTTTTTTTTTTTAAATTCTGTCTCTGTGGGAATGCACCTATAATGTGAATTTCAGACCCCCTCCATGATTTCTAAGTGGGAGAACTTACAAAATCGCAGGGTGTTCAAATACTTTTGTTCCTCACTGTATATGGGGCAGCAAGTGGTTATACCAGGATCACGGCTACAGCTACAAATATATATATGAAATCTCTATGTATTTTATATTTTTCTTAGAGCTGGCAATCTGCTTTCCTGTAAAAGTGATCGAAGTGGCTTTACAGCCACCTGATCCCTTTTCCAGCAGTTGGCAGGCCCCCCTGCAGCTAGTGTTCCCAGGCTCTCCCATTCCACCGGGGAGCCCAGGGGATGTTTTTGTGCGCCCAAGGAAGACACAAGAAAAATTTAATTCTAAAAGATTTTTATAAACTTTTTTTTTTTTTTTTTATACAAAAATCTTAAAAGTGATTAAAAGTAGTATAGTGGCTGAGTCAGAGATGGACCATTAATGCTCTCACAGTGCATAAAAAAAACAAAGCATACTGAATTTCATACTGTAAACCCTGTAGTTTACTGATGAGTGCACTCATCAATCAAAATGAACCATGATTACAAAGAAAACTATATAAACACCATTGATTCATTGACTAATCCACAAGTGGGTGCAGGTACAGAGTGGATGAAGTAAAATGATTTCATATGAAATAAATCTTGGATGCCCAATAGAGGTTCACAGTAGATACTAAGCCCCAGCGTGTTTCATTTCAATTACACCTAATTTTCCTCGGGGGAGATGAGTGGAATTTCATCTACAAAAAAATATTATATTCATACTGGAAACAAATTGAATTCTATAAATAGTATGAATTCTTTAAAAACCTATGTAATGGTGACCTAAAGAAAATAAACTACATCTATTGTGTCCATCAGTTCAAGCAATTTGGAGGTGGAGGAGAGCAATAGAATATATTTCTTCGTGCATTAAGAATACATCACTGTATGTGTTTTGAGTTTTTGTTTTGTTTTTTTAAATGCCAGAGTTTAGTGTTACTTTTTAAGATAGGGGGGCGGCATGGATTTCCCAATCATGTGAGCACTCTGATTGGCTGTCCAATGATCAGGCATTGTAAGCAATGACTCGGTCGCTGTGCTGAGTGCACTTTCAGCACAGTAACCCCAACTACCAAGGACGCATATGTGTGGGCGTTAAGGTACACCCTCTTTGCCGCTACATATGTGCGTTACTTGGTCGTCAAGCCATTAAGAACTCCATTTGTGTTTTGATCTTTGATTTTAACATTTTTTTTATTAGGGCAATGGATAGGGTGGTGATGTTCTTGGTTAGGAAATTGAGACCTAGTAGTGTCATGATTTTGTTTTCTTATGTGCACATTTTTGAAATTACTCATTGATAAAAGGTGAGCAGGACCCTGGACCAGATACCATTTTGCTCTCCGTCACTACACCATGGCTTTTCCCTGTGAGTAAGGGAGAGGGGCAAATGCCATCAAACACAACTGAAATGGATCATGGTGGTAAGACATTGCTTAGCCAGCTCGGAGAAGTTAATGTCCTCCTTGCAGGTTGCTTACAGCCCTCTGCTTGAGTTCACAGTAGAAGCAAAATGTCTATACCTTCAATGTATTATATTTGTAGAATTTATGTCTTTACATGGTTTTGTGAAGGTAAGTTTATTTTATGTTCATCCTAAAGGCCCCACTTTAAATACAAATAGCTGAGGAAGGTATTTGTCTGCAAGCACGTTTTTTTGGCAGCTAGTTAGAATACACATTTTCTCTTTACAGTTTTCAGCTTCTGATCTAAATAACACTACATTCATGCCTTACTTTTCTGGCTCTACTAAATCGCTACTGAGTGACTACACGCATCAGGTTTGTTTGCTGTGCGTTAGTGGAGCAACAAATTTCACACTTTAACTATTTCTACCTTTTTTTTTTTTTTTCTTTTTTTTTAACCTTAGGAAAATTGCCCATAGTAAATGATAGTGATGAGCTAGTGGCCATCATTGCAAGGACAGACCTGAAGAAGAACCGTGACTACCCACTTGCCTCCAAGGACTGCCGGAAACAGTTGCTGTGTGGTGCAGCTGTTGGAACTAGAGAAGATGACAAGTATCGGCTCGATCTTCTCATGCAAGCTGGTGTCGATGTTGTAGTACTGGTATGAATCAGGAATTTTCTTGTGGTTTGTTTATAATTATCCAGTGGACTCTATTGGGTAGATGAGAGTTTTGTGTTTTTTATTGACAGGACTCTTCTCAAGGTAATTCTGTGTATCAGATAAACATGATCCACTACATCAAACAGAAGTATCCTGATCTGCAAGTGATAGGAGGAAATGGTGAGTTTACATCGTGATTCTACTTTGTTCTAAATGTGCTTGGTGGATTGTGAGTTTTCGTTTTGCTTATACAGCTTTCTTTTTCATTCTCATTAGCCTGTCTTTTTAAAAATAATGAGCACAGTTTCTGTACTGAATAGACTTTGTGTGAGAAACTGTCAATGCCTTATGTACATGGACGGATTAAAGCTAACGAAATGCAAAAGAATTCTGGTATTTTTTCCATGCCTGGGAAATGAATGAGCATACACGCTTGTACTTGGATATACAGCAATGCTTTTGTACATCGCTATAAATATACGCATGTGTGAATGATGTATTCCCCTGAATGCAGGATTTCTGTGTTTGGCGAATATGTCATATACACACACGTTTACATCCGTGCAGAAAAGCATTGGCGTAGTTCAAGCATGTACAGCAATTCATCTCCATGACTGGCGGTACATGCCATCTGCTGCCCCCTGGGCACGGAAAAATGCTGGGATTTTATGTTGGTGCGTTTTTTTTTTTTTTTTGTTTTTTTTTTTTTTTTTTAAATCGTCCATGGTAATGTGGTTTTATTTTGTTTTTGTGTTGGTTTGAGTTTTATAGCTAACTTTTTATATATGTGTCCATTAGTTGTAACTGCAGCACAAGCCAAGAATCTTATTGATGCTGGTGTAGATGCTCTCCGGGTGGGGATGGGATGTGGATCCATATGCATCACTCAAGAAGGTAAGCAAATCTGTAAACCTCATGTTTACTTGGCAGGTAATTTGGCTTCTGTTTTGCCAGACTAGTGAATCAGGCATTCACCCAACCGCACATTTTGGTTGAGAGTACAGCCTGCTAATTTGACAAGAAGGCACAATTATAACTTAAACATTGTATTTTTTTAATGAATATGTAACTGGTATTCTGTTTCATATTTGTTTGTTGGAATTTAGGTTTACCTTTTTTTTTTTTTATCAAGTGATTCATTTTTTTTTTCAGTGAAATTGCTGTTGTCAGAACTTCTTTTTGTCTTATCTTTTTGTGTTTGGGATACAGAATTGCAAATGCCAAAATGTTCTAAAACTAGTTTTGCTTGTTTACAGTAATGGCTTGTGGCAGACCTCAGGGAACTGCAGTATACAAAGTTGCAGAGTATGCTCGCAGGTTTGGTGTTCCAGTTATAGCAGATGGAGGGATTCAAACAGTAGGACATGTGGTGAAAGCTTTGGCTCTAGGGGCCTCTACAGGTATGTTGAGGAAAAACCTAGATACTTATTTAATTAAAGTTGGTAGTTCTCTCTAACTGTCCAAATGTTCATCAACGGTAAGAAAAACATGTCGTGATTAACCTACATCATAAACGGGGGAAAACATAATGCCTAGTTGAGTGCTGATTTTTGATATTTGTGATGATATGCGTACACACACACACACTTTATTTTTTTTATTTTTTACTGAGATCTTGTCTTTTGCATTTAGTGATGATGGGTTCCTTGCTGGCTGCTACCACAGAAGCACCTGGTGAATATTTCTTCTCTGATGGTGTGAGGTTAAAGAAATACAGAGGGATGGGCTCGCTGGATGCCATGGAGAAAAATACCAGTAGTCAGAAGAGATATTTCAGGTATTTTCCACTGCCTATTGTTTCACCTGTGGTGGGATATATATCCCCCCCCCCCCCCCCCCCCCAGTTAGAAAATAGTTTTCTGTCTAACAGGTATGAATACATTTTTGCATTTTTTTTTTGTGTACACATTTTAGATGTCGGTACCTTTAATTTGTGAACATACACTTTTAGACACTACAAATACAGTTATAACTATATAGGCACCATAACTGCTTTTGCTTAGTTTCAGAAAATCTTCTTTCTTCTTTCTTTCTTTTTTTTTTTTCCCATGGTTAAAAAAACTGTCATGTGACCTTGCATCTATTCTTCGTGATGTGGCAGGGTTACAGGACATTGTGCAGATGTCACAGCCTCTTCAGCCTAAGGCAGAATGCAGGCTGTGCTTGAGCAGGTGCCATGTTCAAGAGGCAGGCTGTGATTGATGGGGGTTTTTTGGCAGAGGCAGGCTGTGATTGGTTGGGGGGGTGTGGCAGCTGAACAAACTACCCAATACAAACATGCTGTCTGCACAGTGTCCTGTGCCACTGAATTACTAGCCAAAGGATAAAAACTGACCATGCAAGCACAGATCAGCTTTCTGTGCTTTGTGTGGTCAATTTAGAACAAGGAAGAAAGGTTACTGACAGGATCAGCCAGGTACTTCAGATGGAAGAAGTACATGAAAATGATAGACAATGACTTATAAATTTATATATATTAACACAGAAAAAAATTAAATGGGGTAATGTACATTTTAATTGGGGGTTGGGGAGGAAAGGTGTGTGCAACTTTCACTTTTGGGAATATTTGTTTTAGCTTTTATATATGTAGTTAGAGGTCTCCCATCTCATTTGAGGTCTTCGGTCATTGAACATGAGTACTCTGGTTACCATGTTGGGCTGTTAACCCAGCATGCAAATGTGCCTGCTTCACATGTCCTTCAAGGGACAGCATCTTTTTAGAGTTGTTTTATCAACAAGGATGTCACCAGGAGTGGGAGTATCCATCTGCCCCAACAAAAGAAACCTGGGTTTCAGTCAAGGAGGCTCATCATCCCTCTGAGACCAAAGAAAAATTGTTGGCTACTCTAAATGTGTGTGTGTGTGTGTGTGTGTGTGTGTGTGTGTGTGTGTGTGTGTATATATATGCATGTTCATATGTATTTATTTTTTAACTCCTAGTGAAGGGGATAAAGTAAAAGTGGCCCAAGGAGTTTCTGGTTCTATTCAAGACAAAGGGTCCATCCACAAATTTGCACCATACCTTATTGCAGGCATTCAGCATGGCTGCCAAGACATAGGGGCCAAAAGTCTCTCCATACTACGGTAAGCTTTTCTGTTTTAATACACTTGACCTTTGTTTTATTGCTTTTATGTGTACCCAGTTCTTTACTTTTGTGTAGTATTGGAAATGTTCCTTGTAGAGCTATTTTTTACTATTTCAAAACTGACATTGTATGGAAATCAAGTGAGTTGATTTTGCTTTTAGAATAAGTATTCAAAAACCAATCTTGAAAAATTTTAAAGATGAATTCCAGGCATGGTGTATTTTTACATGATTACATTGGTCCAAGCTGGGCCAATATAACTATGTATATACCATACCTCTCGATGTCGTCGGCCGGTCAGTATGGGTGCCATTCAGAAAATGCTTTGCATTCTCTGAATGAGGTGATGTCGCTGTCCCACCTTTCCAGCTCATCCAAGCAGAGAACGTTTTTGCCTTCATTCAGAAAATGCAAAGTACTCTGTGAATGGGGGGGCCGACTTATGTTCTCTATGCACCAGGCTGGGACCCAGAAACAAGTGGAGATAACTGAAGTAGACCTCACATCTACTTAAGTGATTTTCGTGTGTGTGTGTGATCGACTTGGGAGTTCTTTAACATTCTGGTTTTGAAAACTTGACCGCTTGTGTAGTCTTGTGGATTTTCTAACTGTTAAAACTTGCTCTTAATCAAGGGAAGATGAGCAAAAGTTGGTATTGTTGCTGGTTCTTTTATTTGTGTGCTATTGCCTTGATATTTGTTTGCAGTTAACATAGCTTGATTGTAACCTTTTGATCTATTTTCCAGTTCTATGATGTATTCTGGAGAACTCAAACTGGAAAAGAGAACCATGTCTGCCCAAGTAGAAGGTGGAGTCCATGGTCTCCATTCGTAAGTGCATATCTGTTTTTGTTTCTTGGTGTCTCCGTGTTTCCATAGCCTTTTATTTAAAATTCTTCTCTGTGTAGCATTTATGATTTAGTATACAATTTCATGGTGGTGGTTGTTTGTGTTGTGTTTTTTTTTTTTTTCTCCCCCCTTCCGTTAAATGCTACATTACTAAATACATGTTTGCATAAGGTTACCCATGGTAGTGTAGTGTAGTGCAATGTTTCTCAACCTTTTTTCAGTCAAGTCACCCTTTAAAATTATGGATAGTCCCAAGGCACCCTTTAAAATTATGGACAGTCTTGAGGCACCCCATTCTAAAATGTGAATAACTATTCTAATAGTTTTATATAACACAGCAACATCCACACATGTAGGACACCTAACATTAGAGGTGATGTATTCTTCCAAAGCAAATACACCTTTGCACACTGGTACTGGCTAGTATTCCATTGTTTCTCTACTTCCTTAGTTTTTTTCCATCACTGAGCTAATGTGACCCCAGCACTGATGGAGAGAGGCAGGGGAGGGACAAGCTAGGATGCTGTGCTGGCAGCTGACATCCTGCTTAACTGATGATGTCATTGGTTGCCAGGATGCTGGTGGTAGAAGGTCGTAATGGTGCACAATGAAAACCTGTGGCTTTGTGTAACTAATAGGCCAAGTGGGACCTGGGTTCCTAATGTTCCTATTTGCTTACTAATACGCCACATGGTTACTTTCAGGCTATTATATGACCTTATGTGAACAAGCTTCTTTTGTAGCATGTGTGTGTTTTTTTTTTTGTTTTTTTTGTGTTTTTTGTTTTTTTTTGTTTTTTTTATACACTGGATAGTTATTTAGTCTTCTGTTTGGTCACAAGAAAGCAAAACTTCCTAATTGTTAGTGGGGGACTACAGAATACTTCATGGTTCACCCATGTGACAGGGTAACCACTTGAGCTCCAGGATATTTTACCTTTCACTGGTAATTGCTCGGTCATGTAGTGCTGTACCCAAATGAACTATATATCTTCTTTTTTTTTTTTTCCACAAAAAACCGCTTTCTTTTGGTGGGATTTGATCACCACTGGGCCTTTTTTAAATTTTTTTACAATACAGAAGAAAAATAAAACGGTAATTTTTTGGGGAAAAAAATACATATTTTTTTATTTCTGCTACAAAACATATCCAATACATTTTTTTTTTTTTTTTTTTTTTTTTTTTTTTTTTTTTTTTTTTTTATTCTTGAATAAAACAAAAATCCCAGTAAATGTATTTTAATTGCTTTTTGTGAAATTTATAGTGCCTACAAACTATGGGATATATATACTGGAAATTTTTGTTTTTCTTATTCTACAAATAGTGGCGATTCACAACTTATAACAGGATTGCCTGTTAGTGTGGCAGGCAATTTGACACCCCCTCTGGGGGGGGAACTAACTGTCACTGATATCACCAGTGACATTAATACAGTGATCAGTGATAATACTACACACTATACACAGTCACTGTACTAATGACACTGGCTGGGAAGGGGCTAACCTCTAGGGCAATCAAGGAGATAAATGTGTCTACCTATGTGCAAAATGTTCCTATTTTAGGTCTTAGTTTCTTATCACATTTGTAAACCAAACTTTATGTATCAACTTTAAAAAAAAAAAAAAAATGCCTGCTATTGCTCTCTGCCACCTACAAATCTCTACTGAAATACATGAAGGACTATGGGTTTTGCAGTGCACATGACTGCAATTTAGCGTGTGCTGCTCATTTCTAAACAAACATAAGTGAGAAAGAAAATGATAGGTGTAGGAGCCCACAAGGGAGCATTACGAAGAGGCAAAAAAATCACAATACAGAAAGTTTTGTAAAAAAAATATTTACAGGGTCATTAAGCAGTTGATGTTTATGGAATATCTTTTTAGAGAACAAGGATATTGTTTAGTGTCCTTTAACAGTTCCAGCAGTTAATGACTGGCGTGGAGAGGTAGACTTTGTGTTTTTTTTTTTTTTTTTTTTTTTTTTTTTTTTTTACCTGAAAACAGTCCAGTTATCCTTTGGGGCAAAATGCTGGATTTGGTTATGGTTTTATAGAGTTCAATGCTGATTTTATATCAGCAACATAACAGATCGCTCTTCCTTTGCTGTTTGCAAGGTGTGTGTGTGTGTGTGTGTGTGTGTGTGTGTGTGTGTGTGGTGGTGGGTAGAGGGGTGTATGCTGGTATGTAGAATGTGTGCACAGTGGAGGAATGCAGCGATTGAGAACACTGCAGTATGTGTAGGGAAGGAGTGCAGCGGGTATATACATGTGCAGGAGGGGATTAGGAAGGGTTTGATAGTGGGACGAAAAATCTGATTGCATATTCAGTATACTGTATAGACTGGGGATCATTGGGAAAAACGAGAGGCAAATGTGGAAGGATAGGTTATGATGCATGCTTTTATTAGTTTTAAACCTAATTCTTACTGAGGACATTTATTTCTTTATAAAGACATTGGAGGTCTGTTAGGTCCTTGTTGCCTCCTTTTTGTGTTCATCTGATTCAGATCAGGGACAGCGCCTTGGCACTCTGAAGGTGAAAACTTTGGAAGTGCTCTGTGTCTGAATTGTGATTCAGTGCTGTCCTTATGACTGCTGTCAGTATCAATCCAATAAGAACAAAGGGAAAGTGAAATTGACAGAAGACTGTAACATAGCTGGGAGAATGGTGCTTCAATGAGGAGAGAAGATGAGGACTGCATGAGCTAGTAAAGTGTAAGGGCCTGTGTTGATGGGCTTTTGTTCACGCCAGATGGATTTTGCATTCTTGTACACGTTGATAGGATGGCAAAATCCACTTGGAAGTTAAATGCAGGTTAGAAAGTCAGCTGTAGATTGTTCTGCACCTGTCATTTATATTCAAAGTATCTTCAACTGATGTCATTGCCACAAGCTCAGAGCCTGCTGTCAGGAGGTGCTTTTCTGCAAAGGAGATGGCTACAGTCATACGGGTGCAGGGGGTGGCAGTCGCAGAAAATCTGCATGCACACACTGTGCCGCCACCAGCAGCTGTTAAATTTGTACTCTATAAAAATCAATGCCTGGAGCCACCATTATTCACATGTTGCCCATCTGTTGTAAGCGAATAGAGCCTTCAACCAACCCCTGAAACATTGGGTGTCCACAGTTTTTTGTGTTTCTACATTTCAGCTAATTTGCCAGATTTTATGCAGCTACAGCAGAGTGTTGCTGTGGTCAGAGGAGGTGTTTTAGCTGCTTTCAAACCCAGCAAAATATCAGCACCCATGTGTCCATGTGAATGTAACCAAAGCGGGATTAAATTGAAGAGCAGACAGGCTATGCGGATTATGCTTGAGGATGCCCAAAGCTGAATGTTTTCAGTGCTTGAGAGGGAACAGAGTACTTTGTCCTTCAGAAGGAAGTAGGAAGAGTAGCTCTGGGAATTGAAGGGGACATCTCATTGCTGCCATGAATACTAGAAAGTGAAGAGTGTGCTTGCGATGGGTTAGAGGGAAGGGGACTGATCTTGGTGGACTGGAGGCAGAATCCCCCATGTGACAGTGTCACTGAGCTTTAGGACTGTTTTTTGAATAAGTAAAAATCCGTACTCCACTAGCACTCCGGAGAAAAACAGGGCTGTTCGATAAAGTTGCCTGGTGGGTTATCCAAAATCTAAAACTTTAGAATCTGTGGAGGGTTAACTCTATGGAAACCATTAGGATGCTTCTGTTTAATGCAACTTTAGTTTGCATGTTTCTTGATATTTACCCTAAAATATAGACCGATTTCTGATTGAAAGGATAACCCGTAATTTTCACTAGTTGGAGATCACTAAGGTTCAGCTGGAATTGGTTAAATTTCAATCCATGTATGGCCACTGTGGTTGCACAGAAGTCAAACTACCAATCCATCTCTGTCCAACTGCCCTGTTGGAAGATTTCTGCTTGATCGACTCTGCAGGCTATAGACTGCTATCACAATACAATGACATCACAGGGAGGATTGTCCCTTTCTTACAATGTGTGTATGGGGGAATAGGATCAGGGTGCACCCCGCTTCCCCCCCCCCCCCCAATCTTTGGTCAGCCGTAGATCCCAAAAGACATTGCACTTGCTTATATGAGCAATTGCTACTCATACAGGAAGTACTGATGTCACCACGGTACATGCAAGATGTCAGTTACTGCTGTCTGACGTAATTGTTGTGACCTCAAGATTAATGTTAAGAGGAAATGTACACTATATTGCCTAATGTTTTGGGACACCCCTCCAATTCATTGGATTCTGGTGTTCCAATCACCTCCATGGCCCACAGGTTTATAAAATCAAGCATCTAGGCATGCAGACTGCTTTTTCATACATTTGTGAAAGAATGGGTCGCTCTCAAGAGCTCAGTTAATGCAAGTGTGGTACCATGATAGGTTGCCACCTGTCCAATAAGTCCATCCGTGAAATTTCCTTGCTACTAAATATTCCACAGTCAACTGTTAGTGGTATTATAAGTGGAAGCAACTGGGAACAGCAACTCGGCCACAAATTAATAGGCCATGTAAAATGACAGAGCAGGGTCAGTGCATGCTGATGCGCGCAGAAGTTGCCAACTGTCTGCAGAGTCAATAGCTAAAGACCTCCAAATGTCAGGTGGCCCTCCAGTTAGCACAACCATGCGTAGAAAGCTTCATGGAATGGGTTTCCATGGCTGAGTAGCTGCATCCAAGCCTTGCGTCGCCAAGTGCAATGCAAAGCGTCAGAAGCAGTGGTGCAAAGCACGCCGCCACTTGAATTTAGAGCAGTGGAGATATGTTTTCTGGAGTGATGAATCCTGCTTCTCTGTCTCAGTCTGATGGACATATCTGGCTTTGGTGGTGGCCAGGAAAAAGTCCTTACTTTCTATAATTCACTCTATACAAGGAAATTAAAGGGATTATAATGTTCTGCACTATTAGCTAGTCCAGTTCTCTGCTTTCAGCTGTCAATCTAACATCTATAATAGGAGGTGTTTAGCTAATTTACAAGACAACACAGGCAA